GAATAACAAACATGGCATTTACTATAATAGATACCATCTTAATTTTAATTATTTTTTATTAATATTTTCAATTGAAAAATTATATACATTTATGGGGTACAATGTGTTGACTTTGTATATGTCTATATACACACACACACATATATACACACACAATATGAAATGATTACATCAAGATGATGAATGTATCTACCACCTCACTTATCCCTTTTTGTGATGCGATATTTCAGATTTACTCTCTGAGCTATTTTGAAATACAGAATACATTATTATTGAGCTTAGTCACCCTGCTGTGCGATAGATGCATGTCTATCTGCCAGACGACATAGATGCATTTTAATTTGATCTTCCACAGCAGAACACAAAGGAGATTACTCATTGCCTCTCTTTTTCCTAGCTGAAGAAAGTGAAGTTTAGAGTTGAATGACTAGATGGAGCTCACACAGCTGGAAAGGGACAATGACCATTTTGCAGTTCAGATCCACCGGCTTCCAAAGCCCAGGTGTTTTCTTCCACACTGAGAAATCTTACAAAGCGGATGAGTTTATTGCACTGGAAACCAGGGGAAGATCTTTTAATTTGATTCTTTATGAGACCAAAGAAAAAGTTAGCTGAGCAGCTCGAACAAGCAAATGAATGATTAGGACTTTAACATATAAAGTCAATGATTTGTATCAGAATAATACACGAGGATGAAAGCAGGTGGGGGGATAAATGCCGGTTTTCTTCCCTGGGTATCAGTAGCCCTTTATCCTGGGGAGACAAGGACAGTGGCTCTTCCGTGATTGCTCTCCAGGTTCTTCTATCCTTTTTCCTCACCTTGTTGGGATGTTTCTAAACCCGAAGGTTCAAATCTGTTTAGATTACAAACTCCCTAGAGAGAGGGGTTGTCTCTCTCCTTTCTGCATTCCTGGAGCCCTGGACAGTGCTGGCCCCATGAATGGGTGCATCACTTGGCCCTATTTCCTGCCCTCTTATAACACATGCTAGTTTCTAGAATCGACTCTGATAGGCCTTTTTCGGGAGGTCATGCATGCCTGCTTTTTGCAGCTCAGATCTTAAAGATCTGGCTTTCTGCTTTAATGACCCATAGTTCAGCAAAATAGATTTCTAGAACTATTGCTATTTTAATATCTGCCTTTGAAGCAATCGTATAGAAAACCCAAAATGGTGTCGTGCCTGGGCTTCAGAACCCACTGCTGAAGTGTTTAGCACTTCTGGGTGTTTTTTTTTGCTGCTCAGCACCATGACAATGGGAAGAATGTGGCCGTACAACTCCAGCCCTGAGGTTTCCTGCAACATTTTCCTGTTGGACTAATGCCCCATTTTCTTTGGTGGTTTTGTCTCCCTCCATAGAAACATTCCACCGGCCCCCTATGCTAAGCTTAGCCAGGCAGAATGAACTGGCACCAAGTGGTGGATTTATTTTAGTTAACATACAAGCCCATGTTAACTGACATTGGAAAATCACTCTATTACTTGCTCCTAACCTATTTACTCTTAGGTTATACAGTGCTAACAGCTTTGGTATGTCTGTTTTCTAGCTCTCAGCATACTGAATGCATCACGTTGTATGTTGACCAAGATATTTTAATTTGATTCCTTATCAGAACAAAGCGAAGTAACATCTAACACCCAGATAGTAAAGGGGGAAGCAGAAAAGCTGTCAAAGGCAAGCTCAAAGATGAACATGGCAGCCTGGGACCATTCCATGCATCTCGAGAAGCCAGATAGCTTCTGAGACATCCCTCCAGCAACTGAGCATCATAGCTCAGTAATCAATGTCCAAAATGATGACTCAAAATCCAAAATCATTCACTGTTCAGTTGGCTCTGAATCGTAGTGTATTTAACATGACAAAACATATGAACTATGTTTTAGAAACGTGTCCGGTTAAAATGCTAGCAGTTTCCCAAGGAAAATAAATTCAGTCGCAAAATTTTTTCTTTGCATAGTTGCATGTTACCAGACAGTTGTGAGTAGTCAAGGGTGTGTGTGGGCTTGCATGTATGTGATAGAGAAAGACACACAGAGCATGAGACAGAATTGTGTGTTTGTAATTTTTTATACCAATAAATTGTATTTTAACATTTGCCCATTTTAACAGAAGCACATTCATTATCCCATTGAAGGACATAAACAAACCATTTATTCCATTTGACATGGAAACCTTTAGTGGCATAAGGTAGCAAGTGACATGCAGTAGCACGCTATGGAGCAGTTAAAATGATTCATTGTCACCATGGGGCCAACACATTTGGTGTTCTAATGACTTATCTGTGCCTTGTTGTCCCTTGATAATTCCACAGGACTCCTGAGTTAAGACTATACCCAAGAACCCTGGACTTGTCTGTTCCTCTCATAGTTAAGATTCTACTCTTCAACCTTACTTTATGTTTTAAAATATTGATCAGTTTCAAGATGGGTTACACTGAAAAATGAAGGGCTAACTCAAATTAGACTTAGAGATAAGTCAAATTAACCCCTTTATGTCTGAGGTTGCAACTTTTTGAATTTTTGCAGTAATTCCCACATGCTTAGCGTTCCAATAATGGAACACTAGGCATAAATGGGTTTAAGTACAGAAACTCGGTCAGTGTCCACTCCTTCATTCTGGCAAACGTCTCAGAAAATGCTTAAGACAATAAAAGGTTTAAGTTCTGAAATGACGCGACCTAAAGCCTTATTTAATATGCTAAGTGAGTAAATAAAAAAATGTTAGCTATTACAAGAACAAAATATTCCTAGAGAACAGAGCCCTCTCCGGAGTCAGTAGGTAATAATGCAGGCTGCTGCCATCTGCGGGCATTTCTCAGCCTTTTTGGAAAATGGCACGCATAATCCTTTCCACTTATCTTTTGCCACCACTGATGGCCTGTCAGTTCTAATGAAAATACTCCATGCTAAGAAGGTGACAGGAATTATATACATCATCTCTTTTTTGGCTTTCCTTTCTGTCTATCAAACTGTACTTTAAAGGAACTGATTATTTAAGTATTATATAAGTATGCAAAATATATTGAAAGAGAAATAATGTTTCCATTATACACAATGTATACAGTACGAAAGGTTGAAGTGTGATGACACATGAGAAGTGGTAAAAGGTATTTTTAGTTGCTTTCATTTTAGAGAATAATAAAGCAAAATTATTTGGAATCTACAGCATTAGGAGATTTTTCTTCTAATATCTAGCATTATTTATGGCATATTTCAAACTGAATAACTAGAATTGTTTTGAAAGTTAATGTAGATATTATTTTGAAGACATTTTATACTAGCTTTAATAATTAATTTGTGCTTTTTTGAAAAGCTTATACAAGGTAAATATTTGCTCTGTTATTTTATTATCTTTTTCACATCTCTACTCCTTGGAATTACTCCTAACTCATGAGAATTCGTAAACTATTCTTAGGCTAGGCATGGTGGCTCATGCCTGTAATTCCACTTTTGGAGGGATTACACTCTGTAGCACTCTGGGAGGTTGTGATGGGTGGATCACTTGAGCTCACTAGTTCAAGAGCAGCCTGGGCAACATGGTGAGACCCTGTCTCTAAAAGAATATATAAAAATTAGGCAGATGTGATGGTGCACTCCTTTGTAGTTCCAGCTACTCAGGAGGCTGAGGCGAAAGGATTGCTTGAGCTCAGAAGGTAAAGGTTGCTGTGGGCTGAAATGACACCACTGCACTCTAGCCTAGATGATACAGCCAGAACTTGTCTCAAAACAAAACAAAACAAAAATTATAAACCATTTTTAATTTATCTGAGCATCTGACCTATGCATGATGTTTTATTGCAGAAAACAACCAAGAAATTATGTTTACAACTTAAATATGTAACACGCAAAAGCAATAAAGCTAAGAGTCCTGGAAATTCTGGCTGAAATAAACCAAAGGAAGATTGAACTGAACCTGAGAAAAATAAGCAATAAAAGTTGATTCTTTGGCATTTTAGTTCTTTTTTCAAGAGCAAAATCACACTTTTTCCAGTGGAATCACGTCACGTGCAGAAATAGTCCATAGAAGCGTCTAAGAGTGGCAAGAGGTGTACTGAGTCACCCGCCATGAAGGTGCAGCTCAGCTCCGCTTTTGTGCTCCGACTTGTTTTATCACACCATTAAAACTGAACAGTGAAAAATATCTTTAAAAGTTACGTTTTCAAAGGGGAAAAAATATTTGCCCTTCTTAAACTGACACTGATATTTGATCTCAGTGTTGGTCCTTTCCGTACAACTGAAGCTTGACAGGTAAAAATCACAGGTTACGGATAGGACACTGTTTTGTGCTGACATAATGGGAATGACTGATCATAAATTTTTTTGCTTGAGGTGAAAATTGTTAGCGTCAATGATTTCAGTAGTCCCTTTAAAAATTAGTAATTAAGAAATAACAGAGTATTCTAAAACACTGAATCTGGGAAGAATTTTTGTGTGTCATAGAATATAGTGATAAATATTGGTTATTATTGTGAGGAAATAAGGTAGCCTTTTTAGGGAAGTTTGTGGAATATCTTATTGCTTTGTAGTCTAATATTTTTGTGCGTTTATTGAAATATTTTAAACTGAGACAAAAGTTAATACTTTCATAAGCTAGAGATGTGCAAGTTAAGACTCTTTAATTTGTCATGTTCTAAGATAAATGCAATGATCCAAAAAAATCTTCTATGTTAGCTATATACCACTTATATGACAACTCTGTTGCCGTAAGATAAATGCATGACCTAAAAAAGTTTACAAGGTTAGATTTGCTAAGTATATATTTATTGTATAACATAAGTACTAAAAACTCTTAATGTAGGCTAGTTGAAAAGTTAAAACAGCTTGGACCTTTAAGTGACACACACACACACACACAAATGCAGACACACACCTCCATATTTAGCCTTTCCATGAAGTTTCCTCAGATGGAAAAAAAAAAAAAAAACAACTGTTTAAAGGCTTTGTCTATGTGATTGAGTTGCTTTCATTGTATTTTAACCAAGCTATCGTTTTCCCTCTTTCAGGATCTAGATTTCTCATCACATCCACGGGAGCCTTGTATATTAAAGATGTACAGAATGAAGATGGATTGTATAACTATCGCTGCATCACGCGGCATCGATACACTGGAGAGACGAGGCAGAGCAACAGCGCGAGACTTTTTGTATCAGGTAAGAACTCATCAAGACTCTGTCTGCTATGTCTGCTATTTCTTTGTTAGTGTCTTGAGACAACTCAATCAAAACTATGGAATGTTGCTACTAAAATGAAGCCTTCAATTCCCTTTCCAAAATATTTTAGCAATTTTAAGTCTTTTAAACCAATATAAATACAATTTCATAGAAACACAGAGATTCCAAATGCAGTCATTTCACATTTGTCAAACCAGTAAAAGACACATTCACATGATGATGCATTAGCACTTCAGGGAACACCTTGGGAGTGAAAGACCCATCTCAGTATTAGAAAATCAAATGCAAAATACCCAACTTTTGCCTTTGTAGCTGAAGGATATAAAATTGCTCCCCATGGTAAATATTCTATAAGGTTGTAATAGTGAGATGGAAGTGACCAAATGTTGCTTGCTATCAATATTTGAGAAGTGCCTTATTTGTAGTAATGTTTCATGGGAAGAAGTAATGGCGACCTGTTGAACATTGGGATAATTTAAAACATCACTGCCTGAACACTGACTTTTTTTTTTTGGAGACAGAGTCTTGCTCTATCACCAGGCTGGAGTGCAGTGGTGTGATCCCTGCTCACTGCAACTTCCGTTTTCCAGTTTCAAGCAATTCTCCCTCCTCAGCCTCCTGAATAGCTGGGACTACAGGCACACACCACTATGCCCAGCTAATTTTTTGTACTTTTTAGTAGAGACAGGGTTTCACCATGTTGGCCAGAATGGTCTCGATCTCTTGACGTCATGATCTGCCCACCTCAGCCTCCCAAAGTGCTGGGATTACAGGCGTGAGCCACCACGCCCAGCCAAACACCCACTTTTTATACTTGATAATATACTCTCAGGATTTTTCTCTTCGTCATTTACATCTTCAAAATAGCCAATAGGCTTTCAAGGTCCAGCAGAAATGCAAGTTGGAATTAAGTCAGTTTTCCTTTGAACTTGCAAGTATTTTTTTTACCTGTTCTTTTTCAAGTTAACTGTCACTTTCTCCCTTGCTTTTATAGTTCTTATGTCTTTTGGGGGAAAATAAATAAGAAAATGAATAATAACCATCATCTTAGTCTATGGTAGCTTTAAGGAGAGGACAATATTCTACTTATTCAGAAAACTCTAGAACAAGTCCTGTTTGCATTAAAGAGAAACTTTCTAATGGCATATTCAGAAAAGAAAGGGGAAGGATTTGAGGTAGGAGGGGAATCCAGGTATGCAATTAATTTTGGTTTAGCAACGTAAGTAAGTAAGCATTTTTCCCTCCAGAAGATGACATAATTGGTGATCATCTAAGAGCCCATCTTTTCGTTTCAGGTGACATTTTTTATCTCCATGCTGAATCATAAAGTGTTGATTTTTAAATTTATCTCTTAGGGTTGGAAAGGCGAGTCGACTTTTCTTAATCCCAAGATGTTTGTTCATTCTTTTGTTTTGGAATGATTCACTGATGTGTCAAAAATGGACAGAAATAGTTATGAGCATTTGGTTACCGTGAAGGTCATGTGGGTCCCAGGATTACCTAGTGAGCACTGGACAAGGGAGAAGTGAGAGCATCAGTGTTTAATCTAGCCGGGGAATATCATACACTAAGACACCTGCAGAAGAATAGCCAAAGAGACCATCCTGGTCAACATGATGAAACCCCGTCTCTACTAAAAATACAAAAAATTAGCTGGGCACGGTGGCATGTACCTGTAATCTCAGCTACTCAGGAGGCTGAGGCAGGAGAATTGCCTGAACCCAGGAGGCAGAGGTTGCAGTGAGCCAAGTTCACGCCATTGCACTCCAGCCTGGGTAACAAGAGCGAAACTCCGCCTCAAAAAAAAAAAAAAAAAAAAAAGGAAGAGCCAAAGAATAAGACTGAACATTCAGAGCTAATGGTGTAGGTGAAGACAGGGAGGTGATAGGTGCTAGGAGCGGGGAGGGGTCCACAGAATTACATGCCATCGAAAGGCTTATATGACAGTCTACCATATATGGAAAATAACTCAATATTTTTGTCATTGAAATTTTAATAAAGCAATTGAGGGAGAACTTGTTAATGCTAAGAGATGAGAATGTAGACACTGAATGCAGAATGCTTTTCTAACATGCCAAACTTTGAAGGAAAAGAGAAATGGATCTCATTTTAACTTAGATTTAAATATATTTACAAATGTACATCTGGAGGTTGGATCATGGTGGAAAGATGTTCGTGTTTGACCCCAAACTCCCCTGAAACCAACACAGATAAAATAGGATGAAAAAGAAAAAAGTCCACAGATGGCACCTTCAACACAGCTGGATTACTGCCAACAACAGGACCGGCAGCAGAAGTGGAAGATGGTGGAAGTGGACAGCCCACTGGGGCTATGGTAGTGCCAGAAAACTGCAAATAACCAACAGGCATCCATTTTCAAAAGCAGAAGAGCATTACTTGAGTGGAAGCCTAGGAAAATATGTCTTAGAGTCCTCACCACACTGGGATAGAACTGCGTGAGGTCTGGGTTGGAGATGAGCTGAAAGACCATGAAAGTAGCCGGTAATGACTGCACAGGCCCGTGGTGGTCTGTGTCCCTGAAGACCGCAGAAGTGCTCAGCAGGTACTCCCTTAGAAGAACAGAGCTCACCCTGAGGGGAACAGCTGGATTTAGAAATCAAATTGAGCCAGTGTGGAATACGAACAGTAACAGAGAGAGAAGGAACAGGAATCAGAGGAGGCCCTAGAGAATTCTGTCCTCTAAAACACTGCACAAGAAAATACAACATGCACAGCCTTAGAATGCAAAAAACAGAGTGTTCTAGGAAACACGTGGCTAAACATGGAAACCCACACAGCTCTGAGAGATGGGCTAAATGTTGAGTCTTTACGGTAATATCAAGGGAGAAGGCTGGAAAACATACTCATTTCATCGTCTCCTGCAGGAACCTTCTCCTGATTAACTAAGAATCTCTGTTATATTGTAAAATGAAACAAAAAGGGAAAAGATTTAACCCAACTTTATCACAGGAAAAAGGATGAAAATTAACCAAGAAAAAGTTTTGATTAGAAATAACTACAAAAAATACTGACAGAAAGCATATGAAAACTATATTTTTGTTTAAAATGATTAAATCTTTGAAAGAGAAGTATAAATCAGAAATAAAGTATCTCAGAAAAAAATGGAACACAACTCTGTGAAATAGTAAGTGGTATATTTTAGGAAAAAGTTAGAAAAATGAAGAGTTCTAAAATTAAAATTAAATTAGAAGGAACACATCAGAGGATAAACATAACAGAAAGCGTAATATGGGAATTTAAAAATGGGAAGAAACAAGGCAAATAGAGATAAAAATGTATAGATGTGTGACAGAGATGATGAATTACATGTATAACTAATTTCTCTTAAAAAGAAAGCCAGGTAATTGATCAGAATAAGTAATAATAATGAAACACTAATTCAATAAATGACCTGTCATAAAAAAAGAATACATATAAAATATATATTAAAATGGCACAACTGAACCTGGAAGAATGGACCCAGAATGGCCAATATGCAATGTCGTCTAATAAAATTTGTGATCTGTAATTTTGGAGAAGTTTAATATGTTCATTTTTTTCTGTTGTTGCTTGTGTTCTTGGTGTTAAACCTAAGAACTCTTCAGTGTCATGAAGATATTTTCCCTATGTTTTCTTCCAAAAAGTTTTATAGTTTTAGCTATTATATTTGAGCCAGTAATCCATTTTGAGTTGATCTTCAGGTAGTGTGAGGCCAGGTTCTAAATTATTTTTCATGCGGATACCCAATTATCTCAGCCATGTTTTAAAAATATAGTTAGAATTATATAGCACTATCTTATTTGAAAATTTTCTGTCAATAGCTTCAATTAGAATAAAACCTTTTAAGTGCAATCATTGGGTATTGATTTTTTATGAATAGCATTAGAAGTGGGTGCATTTTGTTTTCAGAGATTGTGGGATTGTTTTGCAAAGAAAATCAGAGGTGCACACTGTAGTGTGTTTTGTCAGCCACACCTGCCAAAGGGGGGACATCTTTGTGCTACCTTCTCTGACTCTACTTCTACTTCCTACTCTAAGCAAAATGACAGAGTTCACAACTATTTGTTCATACTACTTTATAATATCATTATTCAACCCTAGTGTAACTAAAATCTGCGTTACTGAAGAACAAGAGCTATCACTATATTCTCACATTTCTTAAATAAATGAAGACAGAGTTCAGAATAATATTAGAGAAGTTTACTCCAAGTAATATATATTATCTTGGATATGATTTCTACTTACTAAACACTAATCCAATGGCATTTATATGGTCTGCAAGTTAGTGTACTAGGAGGTGATAAACTGCATGCAGATGAGGATGTCCAAGACTCTTTCTGGAGTTGGCTTTAGACACATTTTTATCACCTGGACCTATAGGGTATGCAGCTGATGATACTTCCAGGGACATGGATGCAGACAGCCAACCATTTTTCTGCTTTCTCAGTTGATGCTAGAGGATGCCAGAGATGAGTGAGGCATCATTTGTTAGGCCTGTCTCCACTTAATTGTTCAGTCTATGTGAACATAACTTGATCTTCAAACCAATACTTTCCGAAGTCCGTTTGTAATTTCCTTTAGAAGCAGGTAAATGAAGCAATGAAGTTTCTGCTGGCACAGGCTCTGTCCCTGGGTATGGTGAAACTTTTATATCTCTCTCACCTTCGCGAGCCCCATAGTCACACATGTGAATGAGTATAATTCAAGAATATCGAATTCTTCAGTTAATGAAGAATTAGAGGAGTCCTGGAAGCTCATCAGGTGTTTTTCAAAAGAGTATTTAGTTTCCCTCATCATATCGCTGTCACATTGTTCTCTTAAGACACCAGTGAAATAAAAAGAGCAGCAAGTGCATAATGAAGTTTTATCTCCGAAGCTCAAAAAAGAAATAGAAAGGCAAGACATTTCAGCTAAAGGTTTCTGTTCTGTTTTCAATAGTGCCTGCTGACTACCCCCAGTGGCTGAGTATGGAATCACAGCCTCTTAAAGGCATCTTTTATTGATAAAAGATTTATTGCAGGTAGATCAAAAGAGTCATGGCATTTTTCTGCAGCCATGTTCCTGGAAGTATCATCACCAGTTTTTTTGATGTTATTGTTTTTTAAAACAGAAATTTACTTCTTTTGCATATAACTCCAGAAGCTGATTTGGCAGCTGCAGTGTCAGCAGGGACCAGGCTTGTATCTTTCTGATCCTTTATCTTCATATGAAATTCCATTCTCAAGATGATTTGATTGCTGAAGCTCCTGCCTTTCTATGCACATTCCAGGTGGTGTAAAAAAGCAAAGGAAAAATATATAAGAACATCCCTCCCAACTAAGTCCCTTTAAGCAGAATTCCTACAAACTCACATATTTTCTCCTCTTACATCACCTTGGCTAGAGCTTGTTTTTCCTCCAGCTTAATTGAGGTATTGACAAATGAAAATTGCATATATTTAAGGTGTACAATGTGTTGTACAATATGCATATATATACATATTCATATACATATCACTATCAAGCAAAATAACATATCCATTGCCTCACAAAGTTACCATTTGTATGTGTATGCATGTATGTGTGTATATATGTCTGTGTATGCATGTGTGTGTATGTATGCATGTATGTGTGTGGACGTATGTATGTATGCATGTATGTATGCATGTATGTGTATATATGTCTGTGTATGCTTGTGTGTATGCATGTATGTGTGTGCACGTGTGTATGCATGTGTGTGTATGCATGTGTGTGTTTGTGATGACAACATTTAAGATCTACTGTCTTCCCAAATTTCAAGCCTAGAAGATAGTGTTATTAACTGTAGTCACTATGCTGCATATTAAACCTCCAGAACCTATTCATCTGGCATAACTGAAACTTTGTTCCCTTTTACCCACCATTGATCTAGCAATCCCACTCTTGGTCTATACCTAAAGGAAATGAAATCAGATATCTATACTTCCATGTTTATTGCAGAATCATTCACAACAGCCAGAATATGGAAAAAATCTTACATGTTCACATACACATATATGTACATGTAGGAATTTTATTCCTATACATACAAAGTAATATTATTCAGCTTTAAAGAAGAAAATCTTTCCATTTGCAATGACATGGATGAACCTGAAGGGCATTATGCTAAGTGAAATAAATCTAGTCACAGAAACACATACACTGTCTTGTCTCACATACATGTGAAATCTAAAAAAGTCAAACCCAGAGAACCAGGAAATAGAATGCGGGTTGCCAGGGACTAGGGGATGGAACAAATAGGGAGATGTTGGTCAAAATGTACGGAGTTCCAGATGGCTCTCATTTGATAGGAAAATGGATATCCAGTCCTTTGCCATCAGATTTATTGCAGATAGATCAAAAGAGTCATGGCATTTTTCTGACTGAGGCAAAGACAATATAATTTCAGGAGCCAGGAGCCCATAACTCTTCTGTAATATCCATGCAGAATGCAAGGGTATTGTTTCATGCAAGTTTGAAATAGGGTGAATTAGCAGAGAGAGCAGGGAGAGGCCACTGAGTTTTACACTGAGCATCAAATCAGGTGCTGTATTTTATATTCTTCATACTAATACAAAGATTATGCCCTTGAGAACATCACTTCATTCAAGCAAACCTGAAAGTCATCGAGCTGCATGGTTTCCACAGACCGAGTTCTTGGACATATTTTATCAGTTTCCTCATCTGGCTCAAGTTTATGTCATAGAACATGCAAACGGTACCAGGCTGTGTCATGGCAATCATTTGCAAGCTGCTGCTTTTCATCCATTGTCTTGCTACGCCACATGTTGTTGATAGTGCTCATTTACCTGACCTCAAATACCATCTGCTCAGAGGGTCTGTCCCTGAGGACCATACCTTATGGCCTCCTGGCTGCCTCCACACCCATAACACGTGGACTTCACTCTCTATAATGGCCTCTTTTTTTTTCCTTCACTTCGTTACAAACTAAATTATCTTTATTTGCTTGCTAATATGTTGCCTGCTCTCCAACACCCACCCACCCAACAGAACATCAGCTTCAGGAAGACCCCTGTCTGGCCCTCCACTTAACTCTGTGCCGGTCTGCACTAGGGGATCAAAACATATTTGTGAAATGAATAAATAAAAGCTTAAAAATTCAATAGCTATGTGTAAAACTCTTTTTCTTGTGCAATAAATTTTACTAAACACCAGCTATTTATGCTGGTGTTGCCCTTTTTTCCTGTTTAAGTTTGTTTAGGCCAGGTGTGGTAGTGCACACCCGTAATCCCAGCACATTGGGAGGCTGAGGCAGGAGGATCACTTGAGCCCAGGAGTTTGAGTCTGTGGTGGGCAATCATTGCACCACTGCACTCCAGTCTGAGCCACAGAGTGAGTCATTACCTAAAAAAATATTTATTTTATTAATTTTTTCATTGATGCATAATAGATATACATAGTTTATAGTACATGTGATAATGCATTCATATAATTTGTTAAAATCAAATCAGTGTACTTGGGATATCCATCACATTATACATTTGGCTTGTCTTTAAGCTATAATTATTTCAATTCTTCCAGCTATTTGGAAAAATACAGTAGATTATCGCAAACCATAGTCATCCGACTGATCTGTCTACCACTAGGTCTTATTTCTTCTCTCAAACTGCATATTTCTACCGATTAATGATCTTTTAAAGAGAATTCTGGCATTTCCAGTTATGAAAAGAGAATCTGATTCTTGGCCTTAGCTGAGAGCTCTTGTTGAAGCATACTCATTCTGGATCTTTTTTCATTTATTGGTGAATGACCAACAGAGGCTCTGACCAGTGTTCCGTGTACCTTTTGTAAATTCTGAGCAGAAAATAAATTGTATGAATAGGGCATTTCTTTTTCTGTTCACTTATAAAACCTTTTCTTTTTTATTGTACTTTAGGTTCTGGGGTACATGTGCAGATCAGGCAGGATTGGTGTATAGGTACAAGATCTGTATCAATAGTTGGGATGAAACATGGGGTTTAAATTCCACATGAAGTCCTGCAATTCTAAATGACCACTTGCACTCCTCCTTCACTGCCTTTACGAGTTTTTCTTTCTTCTACAGACCCAGCGAACTCAGCCCCATCCATCCTGGATGGGTTTGACCATCGCAAAGCCATGGCTGGGCAGCTTGTGGAGCTGCCTTGCAAAGCGCTTGGGCACCCTGAGCCAGATTACCGCTGGCTGAAGGACAACATGCCCCTGGAACTTTCAGGGAGGTTCCAGAAGACCGTGACGGGGCTGCTCATTGAGAACACTCGCCCCTCGGATTCAGGCAGCTATGTGTGTGAAGTGTCCAACAGATACGGAACTGCTAAGGTGATAGGCCGCCTGTACGTGAAACGTAAGTTGGACGGTAGCTTGCAAAAGTGGTGTTGGCTTCCATCGATGGAGCGCCTGTTACAAGCGAATCTCCATGCTGTCTCTGTAGCTTTCCATGGACTCCCAAAACAGTCCAGCCGAGATCAACAGAAACCTCATTTTGCAGATGTGAAATTAATGCTCAAATGAGTTGCCCAGGGTTGTGACCACTGGAGAGTTTTGGATATCTGATTTGATTTGAAGTCTGTGATTTACATTAGGCCACAGACTATTACATTTCCAAGATACAATTTCAAGATAACACTACCTAGCTGACGAATTCACAACGGCCAGTCTCTCTAAAAATGGACAAAGGGAGGGGACAGGATTGCTCTTTAAGCACAGGTGATGGTAGCCAATCAAAGCATTTGTCTTTTGTCTGTTTCCAGACCATTTCCGCTTTACATTTCTCAATGAGGTTATTATCAGCAAAAGCATTAACGTAGCAAAAGATTAGACTTGTGCCTAGTATTATAGATCACCTACTCCAGATATGACAGTTATATTTGATCTTCCCTTGATTGCCTTGGCTGTCCTGAGGAATGTGTTGAGGATATTGAAGGCAGATTTGGAGGAAGGGGTACGTGATTGCAGGAGTACCATCTAATCTACTCAAACACCCTCAATTTTACTGATGCAGAAACCAAATCGAAGTGATTACCCAAGGTCACATGGCCAGAAAAGGGAGGCAGAGCCTTAGTCAGAGAGGTCTTAGTTGCCAATGGAATGTTCCTTTTAAAACATATATTTATATTTGGTGAGATAAATTGAACAAGTGTAACCACAATAATCTCACACTGAAAATAGGAGGGTTTTTAACTCTTTTTCTCCCAGGCCCATTCCTGTTTATGGAACTTTCTCTTCAGTGTCAACCCGAGTGTAGACTGCCTTAGCACAGTCCTAGCCTAAGAGAATACATTTACATTAACTATCCAAATGACTCTCTGGAACACGCTGTCCAGCCTGAGTCCTGAAAATATTTGAACATGCGTAGGCTGGGATTAGAAAGAAATGGATGATGAAATCCACAGTTACACTTCTATAGCTGAAGAATCATGTGGATAAAATATTGCAGTATTGGACAATCAGTAAGACTTATTCCTACAGGTTCAAAGTCTCTTCTATGTTGAAAGACCTCTCCTGGCTGCCTGTTCTCTATGGAATAAAGTTTCTGTCTTAGGATAGTACTGAAGGCATCTCAAGCAAATCCGTTTGGTCATATCTCCCATTGTTTTGCATTAAAATTCATTTATGCCTGGTGTTCCATTATTGGAACGCTAAGCACGTGGGAGTTATTTATATTCTACTGCTCAAGGTCATAGCCAAGGTCTGATTACAAAAATTTTAAATCTTGCAACCTCGGGCGTAAGTGGGTTAATAAAAACCTATTCCTGCTAAACCTAACTTCTTCCGGATCCCTCTACACACCCATTCCTCTCTTGATTGCAAGTCGTATTACTCATGTTGCTTCCTCCACGTGGAAGATTATTTCATAATACTTGCATATCTAGCACTTTCCATCTCTCTTAGCCTCCGTCTGCAAAGACGTGTTGTTGCCCATTCTCCTCTCCTGTCTCCCACTCAACTCAGAGTGTTACTGTTCTCTCTCTAAAGGCGCTTATCACTATCTGTATTTTAAAAGTCTTAATTCTTTTTTTTTTTAGGCAGAGTTTCACTCTTGTTACCCAGGCTGGAGTGCAATGGCACAATCTCAGCTCACCACAACCTCCGCCTCCTGGGTTCAGGCAATTCTCCTGCCTCAGCCTCCTGAGTAGCTGGGATTATAGGCGCGTGCCACCATGCCCAGCTAATTTTTGTATTTTTAGTAGAGACGGGGTTTCACCATGTTGACCAGGATGGTCTCGATCTCTTGACCTCAGGATCCACCCGCCTCAGCCTCCCAAAGTGCTGGGATTACAGGCGTGAGCCACCGCGCCTGGCCTAAAAGTCTTAATTCTTAATGTGCTTGTTTATATCACTGTTCTCTTCTTTCCACATTTGGCTGATTCTCAAATGCTTCTGGAATGTTCTCTGTCTCCCTTCTGACTGCTTCTTCTAACTACAGAAGAAAACAGCTTCTTCATCCCTGTATCTCTTCTCTAATGGAAAACATTTTCTTGGGCTCCAAATTCAGAACTGTCTTCTTGTCAAGCTCCTCTTTTCCTTAGGCTCTGTTTCATTTGTAGAGCTTTGAATTCCTCGCCTCTGAAAATAAGCTCTGAATCTGTACTTGTAGGCTTGGCTTCCTTCCTGAGTGTCAGCCACGTGTGTCAACCAGCTTTCTTTCAGAAATTTAGCTGGCACTTCAAAACAACAGTGTCGGATACCACACTGAACTCTCCACCAGCTCTTTCTTCCAAATGGCTCTTGTTATTATTTCCAATATCTTCCTCCCTCTCATCCCTCAAATGCAAACTTGAAACCTTGCATGCTCTTTAAGCCTTTCCTTTCTACCACGTCATGCCAAGTCCTACAAACTGCATCTTACAGAGTTATTCAGGTCTGTTCTCAACTCTGTCCTGCCCTAGATTAGTTCTTAATTGTGTCTACACTAGACATATGTAATATATTCAGTGACCAATTTTCCTTACTGTAATTTTTCAAAAGACCTATGACCTATTGATTCCATTAAAAGTATGTTTGAGCTGGGTGTGATGGCTTGTGTCTGTAGTCCCAGCTACTCAGGAGGCTGAGATAGAAAGGAGGAGTTTCAGGCTACAGAGAGCTATGATTGCATCTCTGCACTCCAGCCTAGGTGACAAAGCCAGGCCCCATTTCCGGAAAAAAAAGAAAAAAGACTTATTTGCTAAACATTCTTGAATGTCTTCTTTAGTTATCTTCATTTAATCCCAAATTCTCAGGCACTCTCTGTTGCATCCAAAATCAATCAGAAACTATTCCTGAGACATCCCCCTGCTCCCTGCCTTAATTCCTGTGGTTCCCAATCTCTGTGATTCCCTCTTTCCGTTCTGCTGGTCTTGGTTCTATCTATCATTGGTATCTGTAGGTTTCCTGCTTTTCCCATGGACCCTACTCCACATGTTGTTATGTCTCTCATGGCACCTGCATCACTCTGCTTGGTTATTACAGCCGTTTATTGACTCTGTCTTATCACCCAGAAGACGGAGCTCTTTGAAAACAAAGATTTTACAGTGTGCTGAGATGGAAAGTCAGGAACAATTGGGGTAGAAAGCTTTCTTTCACCCGCTTTTTGATAGGGTTTTTTTTTTCTTGTACATTTGTTTAGGTTCCTTGTAGATTCTAGATAGTAGACCTTAGTTAGATGGATATATATATATATATATATATATATATATTTTTTTTTTTTTTTTTTTTTGAGACAGAGTTTCACTCTTGTTACCCAGGCTGGAGTGCAATGGCGCAATCTCGGCTCACCACAACCTCCGCCTCCTGGGTTCAGGCAATTCTCCTGCCTCAGCCTCCTGAGTAGCTGGGATTACAGGCACGTGCCACCGTGCCCAGCTAATTTTTTTCTTTCTTTCTTTTTTTTTTTGTATTTTGAGTAGAGATGGGGTTTCACCATGTTGACCAGGATGGTCTCGATCTCTTGACCTCGTGATCCACCCGCCTCAGCCTCCCTAAGTGCTGGGATTACAGGCATGAGCCACCACGCCCGGCCTAGATGGATATATTTTTTCCCCTTTCTGTAGGTTGCCTGTTCACTCTGATGATAGTTTGTTTTGCTGAGCAAAAGTTCTATAGTTTAATTAGATCCCATTTGTCAGTTTTGGCTTCTGTTGCCATTGCTTTTGCTGTTTTAGTCATAAAGTCTTTGCCCATGTGTGTCCTAAGGGGCATTGCCTGAGTTTCCTTCTGGGGTTTTTATGGTTGTAGGTTGTATGTTTAAGTCTTTAATCCATCTTGAGTTAATTTTTGTAAAAAGTGTAAGCAAACCTGTATATTCAGCACATGTATCCCAGAACTTAAAGTGAAATAAAATAATAATAATATAATAATAAAAGTAGGAGATTACCAGAAGTGATTAAAAAGCAAATCTGAGCCATCTGCCATCTACAAGAGATGTTTGTTAAAGATGTATTCAAATGTCTTCTGGCCTCCTTTGCTTCTGATAAGCAGTCAGAGATCATTCAGATCTTCACTTACCTTTCTATTTCCCTAGATGTCATTTGCCATTTTTGCTGTCTGCTTTAAAGACTTTCCTTTATTTTCAGTTTTCTGTAATTTGTGATATGACTAGACAGGATTTTCATCAGATTTTTCCTGCTCAGCACTTTCTGACCTTTAAAAATCTATAAATATCTGCCTTTAAAAATTTATAAATATATGCCTTTCACAAAAAAATTGTTTTCTGTCATTTACCTGTTGACTGGATTTGGCTGAGTTACTTAATCTCTCTGAGTGACCATTTTCTGTTTTGTACAGTGGAGATAACACAAACTTTGTGGGATGAGGAGAAGACTGACTTAAATGTTGCATGAAAGATAGTAATTTTGTAGCACATAGCAGTTGCACCACAAATGTTATTCCATTTTGTCTTGCCTGTGAGTTTAACACCATCCGTGGCACATAACAGATGCTCAGTAGGCGCTTTCTACGTTGGATTAGGGTTGTTGAATTGAAAGCATAGGAAGACAAGAATGAGAGTTTCATTTTTGTCTAAATCCCTCAGCCTCATTTTAAAGAAAAACTCCGTTTCATGATCACAAATTATAATACCAACCTGTTTTCTTTTTTCACAATTGTGTGTTATCAGCCCTGGGTAAACCACATACGGCATATGAGTGAGTATACATGTGTGTGTGAATGGCCCATGGCAAAACCACCAGTGCTACCTCGGGACAAGACAAAATAGGATTTATATGGGCAATACTTATGTCACAATTGTAGCCAGCACATTGTATTTCTTATTGTCAGCGGATTTATATCAACATCCTCACATAGACTCAGTGAAAAGGCATTTGACCAATATTATTCCACTTGTTGCATAAAGAAATAAAGCCAGAAATAAAAAAATAGCAAATAGGTTGTCCCCAAGCAAACTGTTACTCTGTGAAAGAATATGGCTTATAGGAACTGAAAGGAGTGTGGTTGCAGTAATGCACTTGCTTTGTTGAAAGTCCAGCATGTTGTTGAAATGATACCTAGTGATGTTTTCACCTTTTTTCTTTCTCTCTCTCTCTCTCTCACCAAAATCTCCAGAGCCACTGAAAGCTACCATCAGTCCCAGGAAGGTTAAAAGCAGCGTGGGTAGCCAAGTTTCCTTGTCCTGCAGCGTGACAGGAACTGAGGACCAGGAACTCTCCTGGTACCGCAATGGTGAAATCCTCAACCCTGGAAAAAATGTGAGGATCACAGGGATCAACCACGAAAACCTTATAATGGATCACATGGTCAAAAGTGACGGGGGCGCATACCAGTGCTTTGTGCGCAAGGACAAGCTGTCCGCTCAAGACCATGTGCAGGTGGTCCTTGAAGGTCAGTGGGCCTCGTTACAGAGTACGGCTAAAAAAGAACCCAAACCCAGAGCACTCAGGAAAGAAGAAGACAGGGTGAAGCAGTGCTAATCGCTCAGTCTAGGCTCTCTGTCTGTGGGTGAAGCAGTGCTGATCGCTCAGCCTAGGCTCTCTGTCTGTGGGTGAAGCAGTGCTGATGGCTCAGTCTAGGCTCTCTGTCTGTGGGTGAAGCAGTGCTGATCACTCAGCCTAGGCTCTCTATCTGTGGGTGAAGCAGTGCTGATCGCTCAGTCTAGGCTCTCTGTCTGTGGGTGAAGCAGTGCTGATCGCTCAGCCTAGGCTCTCTGTCTGTGGGTGAAGCAGTGCTGATGGCTCAGTCTAGGCTCTCTGTCTGTGGGTGAAGCAGTGCTGATCGCTCAGCCTAGGCTCTCCGTCTGTGGGTGAAGCAGTGCTGATTACTCAGCCTAGGCTCTCTATCTGTGGGTGAAGCAGTGCTGATCACTCAGTCTAGTCTCTCTCTCTATCTCACCAGCTAGTACTCTACCCTAAGTTTTCAAGCTAAATCAGGAATATGGGAGAGAATGTTCTGAAGGAATGAAATTGTTTTCATATTAGAAGTAATGTAAAATAAATATATGTTACCCACTCATGTCTTAGAAGTTATTTCCCAAGATTTAATTCTTAGAAACTTGACACTTAACAGTTTTGCTGACCATTCATATCTAGACCGGGGTCTTTCAAGAATGCCTTGCCTGGGGAACTTTCTTATGCGTTGTGGATATTTTGCGGCGTCTCTGGCCTCTTTCCACTAGATGCATGCTAAGAGCAACTTCCTCCAAGTTGTTACAACCAAAATGTCTCCAGGTGTTGCCAGATGCTCTCTGGGTGGGATGGGGGCAACAGCCTCTAGTGGAGAAGTACAAGTTCAGTGTCAAAATGCGAACCATATGTCAACACAGCGGTTGCTGGAGTGACGAAGTGGCATCTGGTTGGTGCAGTTGTCCCTAGTTCCATCCAAATGTTTACAGATTTAAGTAAATGAAATTTGTGAGGAATTAATTTGTGGTATAATGGCAGGTTTTAGATTTGTGATACTGTTTGCTCTTTTTAACTGATTACTGCATAGTAAATCTTCAAGCTTATCAGGCAGCCAGAAAGGGAAGCTATCACAGGCAATATATATTTATCACTACATGATTGAACTAGCTTCTATCTATTTATTTGTGTGTGTTGTTGGGAATTATGTCTTTATATGTAATTTAAAATTTATCTGTTATCAATTGATTAAAATAATAAAATGATTTTGATATAGCCTAAAGTGAGAACCAACAAAACAAATAAAACACATTAATATATGAAAATAAGTTTAAATATATCTTCAATCTGAGATCATATTTCTGTTATTCTTCTTTAACCATAGCCATTTTTTTTAAAGAAGTAGCAGGCTTAGCAAGGAGATGCCTATTCTGATTGCAGACAGTGTGATTTTTCAAGCAGAGGTGAAATTAGCTGATGGCATGGTATTTACATTAAATGCCTGACACAGTGTTCCATATAATAATTAAGCACAGAAAGTAGTCAATGTGTGCAGAACCAGTTTGCTAATGATGATGCACTCTAGTCCTTACATAGTTATATTTTTAGATTCTTTGCAGAAAAAAGGGATATTTCTTGTCTAGGCCCAGTTATCTCAGCAACCATTTTGTGTGACTAAGAAACCCCAAAGACCATATCGATAATCCACAATGGTGTCAGAAGACTTCGGATTATCAGAGTGACAGCAAGAAAGATTTCAAGGACACCCAGTTCTCCCTGGAAAAATAATGTCTGCTTTCATCTCCAAAGGAGCCTGTCACTTGAACTAAAACGGGTGCTGAGGAGCACAGCCAGCACGCTTACGGATTTATTTGTCACATGTCAGCTTCCATTCAGGACAAGAAGCTTCACTTTATTTCTTTCTCTTCTGAGAGATGACAGTGCTAACGTAGCAAAAGAATCAAAGCCGAAATGGAATTACAGATACATATCTAGTACCTGCTTTCAGAGGGCATCCAGCTAGTTTCCTCTGGAAAATAACAATGCTCCCATTATTCTCACTGAAATAGTGATGGATGAAAGTAAAATTATAAAAAATTGCAACATTCCGAACTAGGACTGACCATTAATATAATGGAAAATCTGGGAGTATTTCCTATGAGTGATTCCTATAAAATTGAACTTAATAGTTATAGATTCAGGATAAAACCTTAATACCTGGTAAACAGAATGGTTTTTAAAAAAAAGAGTAATAAGAGTTTTCAGTTTTGGGAATGGTGAAATAGCATGTATCAGACTAACTCCAAAACTGATAAAAATGAGAAACTGGGTCGGGCGCGGTGGCTCACGCCTGTAATCCCAGCACTTTGGGAGGCCAAGGCGGGTGGATCACGAGGTCAAGAGATCGAGACCATCCTGGTCAACATGGTGAAACCCCGTCTCTACGAAAAATACAAAAAATTAGCTGGGCATGGTGGTGCGTGCCTGTAATCCCAGCCACTCAGGAGGCTGAGGAAGGAGAATTGCCTGAACCCAGGAGGCGGAGGTTGTGGTGAGCCGAGATCACGCCATTGCACTCCAGCCTGGGTAACAAGAGCGAAACTCCGTCTCAAAAAAAAAAAAAAAGAGAGAGAGAGAAACTTCGGGAAAAGCAAAAGTATATGTAAACACCTGAGAGACATTAAAAGCAAATTGTGGCCTGTCCTCTTCCACTGAGGCTATGTGTGAACTGCAAAAATGTGGGAGAGAATGCAAGTGTGCAGTAAAAAATAATTAGACATACAGAAAACAGAACTCTGCGATTGAAGGACAAAGACAAAGCAAGCGGTAGAAACAAACCATGAGAGGACCCAGACACTAGAACAGGCAGACAAGGACTTTGCAGTGATTTAAAATATGTTCAGTAACTTAAAGGAAAATATGGACTGAAGGACTGAACGTACAGGAAAGACCAACACAGATATGGAGACTATAGAAAAGAATCAATAGAAATGGAAAAAAAAAATCACCATATTCACTTTAATATAAGATTAGAGAAGGAAGAAGAAAGTATCAGTGAACTTGAAGATCAATCTTAGAAAATTATCCAATCTGAAGCATGGAGAGGAACAAGACTACAAAGGAAATGGTTAGAGTTTTGGCAACAAGTGGGACATACATGTATGACTAGAGGCCCAGAAAAATAGGAGACAGGGAACACAGAAGAAAAAAGTATTTAAAGAGATGATGGCCTTAGTTTTAGCAACTTGGGTATAAAAGTAAGGCTGCAGATCTCAGAAACTCAGCAAACTCCAAAAATAAACACAAAGAACATTCTATGTCCGTACATCAGAGTTAAGCTGCTGAAAACCAAAGATAAAGAGAAAAACCTAAAAATCTGAGGGAGAAAAAATATTACATAAAGGGGACATCAATAACAAATGGTTGATGATTCATCAGATATTTTGGAGGACAGGAGACAATGAAGCAACATCTTTAAAATGTTGAAAATGAAAAACAAAGACACAAGCCCTGATAATGTAGAGTTGTTTTTTTTTTGTTTGTTTGTTTGTTTTTTCAGGCAAAGTCTGGCTCTGTCACCAGGCTGGAGTGCAGTGATGTGATCTTGGCTCACTGCAACTTCCACCTCCCAGGTTCAAGTGATTTTCCTGCCTCAGCCTCCCAAGTAGCTGTGACTACAGGTGTGCACCACCACACGCAGCTAATTTTTGTATTTTTAGTAGGGACGAGGTTTTCCCATGTTGACCAAAATGGTATTGATCTCTTGACCTTGTGATCCACCCGCCTTGGCCTCCCAAAGTGCTGGGATTACAGGTGTGAGCCACAGCACCTGACTGCCAACATAGACTTCTATAGCAAAAAGAGCCAGCAACAGAAGGCTTGAAAAATTAAGGCAAAGTAAAGATATTTTCAGTAATAAAAAGGTGAAAGAATATGATGTCAGCAGACTTGCACATTAATAAATGATAAATGAAGTCATGCAGAATATAGAAAATGGACACATATCCGTAGGATATAGGTAAAATGGAACAGAAGTGAAACATGAAAACATATCCATAGAAATAAATGCCATGAGAAATGGTAGATATATTAGTAAATATTTAGCAAAATTGTGTTTTCCTTTTTAATTTCTTTAAACAATTGACAGTTATTACATTGTAAAATTACAGCACTTGGCTGTGTATGGTGGCTCACGCCTGTAATCCCAGCATTGTAGGAAGCTAAGACGGGCGGCTCACTTATCAGGAGTTTGAGACTAGTCTGGCCAACATGGTAAAATTCCATCTCTGCTAAAAATACAAAATTAGCCAGGTGTGGTGGTATGTGTCTGTAATTTCAGCTATAAGCAGTGGCAGAAAAATAGCTTGAACCCAAGAAGCGAAGGTTGCAGTGAGCTAAGATCATGCCACTGCACTCCAGTCTCAGTGACGGTGAGACTCCATCTCTAAAAAGAAAATAAAAATAATAAAATTACAACGCGTTATTATAGAGCTAATAAAATAAATAGATATAATAAACAAAGTGCAGAATTATTTGTTGCAAGGTTCTTACACTTCACATAAAGCACTGCAATTTTAACTTTTAGCAGACATAATTTAAAACCTATACACACACATAGATATAGATCTGTGTGGGTGTGTGTGTTTGTGTGTGTGTGTGTGTGTATTAATTGCAATGCAAGATTGGAAGAACATTAAAAATCTAATCCATGTAAGTCGCTATATTAATGGAATAAGAGAGCAGATCCAATTGATTATCTCAATATATACAGAAAAGATCATTTGTTGAAATTCAGCATAAAGAATCTCTAGCAAATGAGAGACTCTGGGGATCTTCCTTGACCTGATAAGTGGCATCTATGAACAGTCTACTGCTAAAATTATACTTACTTGTTAAACACTAAATGTTTTTCATTTAAGATTGAGACCACGGCAAGGACGCCAACATCCAACACTTCTATTTAACATTATACTAGCACCCTACTTAGGCTTGGGTAGAAATAAAATGCATAGAGTTTGGAAAGGAAAAATTTCAGCTGTCTTAATTACAGGCGTTGTTGTTTACAAAGAGTATCCCAAGAAAATGATAAAGTAATTTCTGTAAGCGAGTTTAAAAAGTTATTGGCTACAAGAATAATATACAAAATGCAATTTTATTTCTATATACTCAGAACAAACAATTGGAAACTAGTATCTTGAAACTTTCATTTTCAGTAACATAAAACATAGGAATATGTTTTTAAAAATGTAAAAGATTTCAACATATAAAAATACAAAACTGCCAATATAAAATTGAAATAACCTAAAAATTGAAAACATATACCATATTCAAGAATTAGTAAACTAATTCTTAAGTTAATAATTCTCTCTAAAATGATTAATTTCAAGCAAAACTAGGGCATGGTGGCTTGTGCCTGTAATCCTCATACTTTTGGAGGCTGAGACGGGGGGGGGGGGGGGATCCCTGTAGCCCAGCCTGGGAAACATGGCAAAACTTTGTCTCTTAAAAAAAAATTAGGTGTACTGATGTGCACCTGCAGTCCAGCTACTTGGGAGATTGTGCCACGCCAAGGATAACAGAGGGAGACAATGTCTCAAAAAAAAAGAAAAAATTACACATACATGCGTATGTACCTTTTCAACAAATTAACACTAAAACAACCCAATAAACGTATGGCAAAAAATGAGTACTAATTCCTACATCACACTTCATGTCCACACAAAGTTAATCTGATATACATACAGAGCTAAATTTAAAATACATAGCAGTAAAGTCTCTAAAAGAAAACATGGAAGAATTCTTCCTGATTTGTGAATAGGTAATGATTTCTTAGGACAAAACAAACATTAAATGTCAACACAAATGCATTAAGAAAAGAAAAAGGCAACCAGAGACTGGGAGAAAATATGCACACAAATATATGTGCTATATATATGTTGAAAGATTTATGTATAATCTCTATAGGATATCTGACAAATATATCTGATTGTTATATCTGACATAGATACTATATTTCCTTGTATTTCACTTACGTAAAGATTTCCATTTGTTGTCTTCCACAACAAATCAAGAACAAAAAGGCAAACAGTCTGATATAACCAGAGGCAGAAGAGTTGAGCGGACATTCACTGAAGGAAACCCATGGTGACCAATAGGCACGTAAAACACGTGGCTTCCGTGGTACTTCTGGGAAAAATATACAGCCTGCTTTTCATCATGAAGAAATATGAGACAAACCCAATTTTAGCAACTGGCTACAAAATTACTCCTCAAAAATATAAAAGTCAAGAAACACAAAAGAGACTGAAGAATGTTCCAGATGAAAAGAGACTGAAATGACATGAGACATAAATAATGGGTGATACCGACTGTACTGGAAAAAATAGTGACGAGATATATTAGTGGTCATCACCAGAATTTTGCAGGGCTGTGTGTTAGATAATAGCACTGTTCCAAAGTTACATCTTCTAATTATATTCTAAGTGTACTCTGATTATGATGGAATATATGCACATATAAAGAGTGCTTACTCTTACTATGTTTCTTCACAGCTCAAGCACAGACAAAACCAGCAATTGTAATAGGGATCAGAGCAGTGATAGATGTCGGATGGGGATTTATTGAAAGGAGCCCTTAGGGAATTTTGGTGATGGAAATGTTTTATATCTTGATCGTTTTGGTGGTTAGTCAGGTGTGTATATATTTAGCAAAACTAAGCTGTACACTTAAGATCTGTATATTTCACTGTATGTAAAATTTGCCTACAAAAAAAGAAGTATAACTGAAGAACACTTTCCTAAACACTTGAGTTTTCAGAGCTTAATGTAAAAACCAGTGAAAAGAAATTTACTGCTAAACCCATTTTACAAAAAACATGGCATTATAAAGGACACATGAAATAACTCCAGTACTCCTAAGCATTAATGACTGACCATGGACAATGAATAGCAGTCATGATGACATCTCACTTCTCTGTAGACTTAAATGCAGGACATGATGAGGTAATGTCTGCATAAAAGACAAAAGCACAGATATTTCATTTTAATATTTTAAAGTTTTCTTTTTCATCTCTGGTAGTAAGAGACAAAATGCTTACAACCCAAGGATGCTGTAATATGCTACTTAGGAGCACATCTGGGAGAAAACACACTCCAGGGCCTTCTCCAGCCACCTGAAACATGAGCTGTAATGAAGAAGTGAGATTCAGGAATTTGAGAGGGAATAGAGGGTGGAGGGGTGGAGGAAAGAGCTGCAGCACAGCCCCACCACTGTGACGACCCTACATAACTGGCCTCCCCAGCCAAAAACTAGGCCCCAGTGTTCTGGGGGAATGAGTGACACTTTCCTCAAAGGTGTTTGAAACTATTGACCATTAACTGCCATCTTTCCCTGATGGAATTGCAAGCTATCCTAAATTTTGCTTGCCTCCTTTCTTTTTGTCTGTATTTTCCAATTTTTAACAAGAAAGATAATCAAGAATGAAGATATATTATTTGTATAATAAAAATTAAAAACAATAGTAATTTTTTCATTATGGGACAACCCTTTAATTGAACATAAAAATTCTTTTAAAAAAACAAAAGATGTCCCCTCCAGCAAGGTCTCTTACCAAACTCAGAAATCCTGTGGCATGTGATTGCAATTACATCCAAATGACCCACTTATGCCTAGAAAAAATGTGTCACAATGTTGATTTGCGTGCCTGAGGCTGGCTGACCTATTGGTAACTTTTCTTCTGATTTTCATATATTTCCTTTAATATGCATGTATTTCTTTTTATAAATAAAAAACATATAAAAAAGAAACATGCATTTGTAATTATTACTGTATAATAAGAGAAAAAATCCATATGCGTGATAGAAAAATAATGGAATGTGAAAATCTGATGTATGTAAACATACTGAATATTTCTATGGATACTTCTCTAAAACTAAGATCCCAGTTTGCCTGCGACAGTTCTGGGTCATGTCTGTTCTCTTGGCATAATTATTAGTCATATCTGTTTCAGTCTCAAAAGTCTCCCAGGCTGGATGATAAATTATATGGCCAGCCTACTTAAGAAACTTTGAGAGACATTTAAAACATGCTTAAGTACCCTACTTAAGATATCTTTAGAGGTTTTTAATACATGGCATTTAGTGCAAACTTTATTTAGCTTCTACCCATTCTCAGAGACTTCCTGGAAGTTTGCATGTAATTACCATCAGTAATTAAAGCTATAAAAGAGGACTTCTTATGAGAAAACGATGAGGATGAGATCATCAGTCTCGTGCTAGTTTCCTTTATTCCTGTAAACAATTCTGTAGCGAGAAAACCCCAAACAACTTGAGGGAAATATTAGGTTGATGCAAAAGTCATTGCTGTTTTTGCCATTACTTTTTGCGATCACTTTGCACCAACCGAGTAAAGTGACAGTTCGTGGGGGTAAGAGGGTGTGGCTTTTCCCTCTGTGTATAAGTTTGCGTGGGAAAGACCGCTTTTGAATTGGGGACCTCTTGGGAGCTGTCATTGTTTAACCTGAACATCGGAGCCGTGTTACCACTCCTCTTAATCAGGAAATGCAGAAGCAGGTTGTTAACTCTTGCTAACGCTGTGCTGACCTGTTTTGAAAAGAGTGAACTGTAGTCCTGACTGAAGTTTTTGCTTTATCTATAAAACCAGACCTTTTTGGTAGTGATTAACGACGACTACATCTACCTCCTAGACAAGTAAATAAATGGACTTGGAAGTTGTTTAATTATTTGTATGTGCCACTTTCTTCCACAATTTGTTTTCCTGCAGATGGAACTCCCAAAATTATTTCTGCCTTTAGTGAAAAGGTGGTGAGTCCCGCAGAGCCGGTTTCCCTCATGTGCAACGTGAAGGGAACACCTTTGCCCACGATCACGTGGACGCTGGACGACGACCCGATTCTCAAGGGTGGCAGTCACCGCATCAGCCAGATGATCACGTCGGAGGGGAACGTGGTCAGCTACCTGAACATCTCCAGCTCGCAGGTCCGGGACGGGGGAGTCTACCGCTGCACTGCCAACAACTCGGCGGGAGTCGTCCTGTACCAGGCTCGAATAAACGTAAGAGGTGCTTGTCAAATCAGCTCCTCAAAAAAACACACATAACTCATTGTAGTGGAGAAGAAGGTATCTGCATGCACCGAGCTGGGTCGTGGAATGCCAGAGCGGATTAACTGCTGCTTCCCGTGTCCTACCCTCTCCTTCCTCCTCGGGAATGGCACTGACCGGGTTCATGTTGGAAATGGCGTTTTGGTTTCTGTAGTCAGCTTGTTCTTTTTTACTCTAGATCTGTTCACCAGATGTTTCCTTTCCTGGTTTATGCTCTGCATGCCCTTTCCTTTCTCCTTCTCTTCGGTTCTTCCACATTCATGGTAAACCTTCATGTACATGGTATTAAACTTACATTCATGCTGCAACGTGGTGTAACCTCCATCGTCATCCTGGATTTTATAGAGAGAGTTAGACAATTGATCAGTTGCTGCCAGTGTTTTCACCAAAAGTGCATGATGGTCCAGCGTAGACTAGTTACTTTCCATTAATTAAATTGCCTTTTAGTTTGTAATTCAGAATATTTTCATAGAAATAGCTGATAAAGTAACACTTATTCAATTCCTTTGAATTTAAGAAACGGAAAGAAAAACCTTCTTTGTAGAAAATGCCACATGCAAAAATATTTGTTTAACTGAAAAAATGTGCTTCCATGAGTATAATCTACATTTTTAACTCAGGGAAAAGTGTACCCATTTCCCCGCGTGAAATGTACCCTTAAATTATTTTCAAGAGTTTCTCTGTGTTTCTCCAGGGCCTGCAAGCATTCGACCAATGAAAAACATCACAGCAATAGCTGGACGGGACACATACATTCACTGCCGTGTGATTGGCTATCCGTATTACTCCATTAAGTGGTACAAGAACTCTAACCTGCTTCCTTTTAACCACCGCCAAGTGGCATTTGAGAACAATGGAACTCTTAAACTTTCGGATGTGCAAAAGGAAGTGGACGAGGGGGAGTACACGTGCAACGTGTTGGTTCAACCACAGCTCTCCACCAGCCAGAGCGTCCACGTGACGGTGAAAGGTAAGCCCTGTTCTCCTGGTTCCCACACGACTCACTCCACATCCCGACTACTTCCCAGGCCAACGAGTGGGTGACAGGTAACCTAAGATCTGCTTATTTAGAGCAGGGCAGTTGTACGGGCTGGAGAATGACAGGGAACCTGAGATGTCCTCTTTACTACTGACTGAACCTTCACAGGACCTGTAGTTGATCTAATTTTCTCTCCAGGTGGAATTTTGGCTTGGTTTTCCAGAGGACACGTGTTGTTAACCTTACAACCTAAGAAAAGGAGCACATCATTGGCTTGGTTATTTAGCTATCTGTGAGATAATTTTAAAATAGATAATTTTCTTTTCCTAAAAGCAAGTTCTCTTAGAACTTATCTGGAAGAGATTTTCTGTATTGGATGAGGATTTCAAACAAACGTCTTATCTTCAGTAGATGAGCAGGTCAAAGCAACAACATAGAAATTATATGTTTAAAGGACGCCACAGAACATTTTCTTTATTAAATTATTCTTTACATCATGACATGGACTCTCACAGAGTTTCTCTGCCAGGATGATTTCTAGAGATCTTGCAATTCAACTGCAATCTCCTTACCAGAAAAAACAGTAAGGTGATCAGACTCATCCAGGGATACAGCTTTGTCGTGGCAGACCCTTAGAAAACTTATTTCTTCTATTCTCCAAGTCAGTTTCCTGAGCTGAATATGAAATAAAATTGTTTTAATTATGTAAAGAATCTACATGAGGTAGGTCCTAAGAATAGAACTCATATGTTATAAAACTACTTCCACAACCTGTGGATGTTGCTTCTAGACACACTGAGTCCCCTGTCTGAGCTGCCCAAGCTATCTCCCCAGGCACCAATAATTGCCTTTCAGTTGCCCTTGTTACAAAGCCGCATAGGTTTCCTGTAGTCTTCCCCAACCTTCTTTTCCACCAACCCTGTGAGTTTTACTTTTTTGAGAACTCCTACAAACACACACACACATGAAAATAATAATATACATATTATTAGGGGGCATATATTGCATTACATTATATATTATAGAATATGTATTGTGTATTATATATCAGATATGCCTGCACATAATTATAAATCCATTTTTAGTAACTACATATCTTGAGCATTTCCTCAGCTCACTAGACATTCTTGGTAAATCAGGCTGGTGATCGCTGCATAAAGGTTCATTTTGTGATTGTGTTTATTTCTTTAATCCTCATCTACAGAACATCTGCTTCATGCCAGGCACAGCTCTAGGTATCGAGAAATACAATAATGAGAAAGTTCTGCAAAGTCCTTCCCCTCGTTGACTCTATTCTCAGTCAGGAGAGACAAACAATAAATAAGACAAGTGAATAAGCCAGAAAACACCTGATGGTACTCCATGCTATGCAAATAATTAAAACATGGCATTATCTTTTTTTTTTTTTGAGATGGAGTCTTGTTCTATCACCCAGGCTGGAGTGCGGTGGTATGATCTTGGCTCACTGCAACCACCGCCTTCTAGGTCCAGGCAATTCTCCTGCCTCAGCCTCCTGAGTAGCTGGGATTGCAGGCACGCGCCACCACACCTGGCTAATTTTTTGTATTTCTAATAGTGTTGGGGTTTCACCATGTTAGCCAGAATGGTCTTGATCTCCTGACCTTGTGATCAGCCCACCTCGGCCTCCCAAAATGCTGGAATTTCAGGCATGAGCCACCATGCCCGGCTGACAGTATCTGAATGGTTCATTCCAACAGTCAGATGACATATCAATACATTTTCTATACTCTGCCATCTTAAAATTCATTGGTCTATGATACCCTTGGAAGAAATAGTTTACCCACACACGATTTTGTAACATAAAAAGTTGATCATTTGGAAATGCTTGGTTCACTGTGTTATGCAGATCTTCCAAATGTTGACACAATTCATTATATAATATCAAAATATCAAAACTACTAACGTTACCATGATCTCATCAGAAAGTCTTCACGTACTGGTGAACTGTCAAGTTCATGGTGATGGATATAAGTTTTCTAAAATTCCACCTTTTCTTGAAACTTTGAATGTTATTATTTATAATAAACACCACCAGTTGTAATCATAGGAGTGATAGGCTCCTTTCTCTCTAAGAAATTGTCTGACAAATAGAAAAGGCTGCATAACCATCATTTTTTAGGTAGCCATTCTTTGAAGAAAGAAATGGAATTTCATGAAAAAAAAGAAAGCAGGTGGCTGAAGTTGCAACTCAAGCAAGCATAGGCATCCTCTGCTTGAAGACAGCCGTGCTGCTCAGGAGGCAGAGGAAACACTGTGCCTTCTTCCCATTTTAGTACACAGGACACAGAACATTAAAAATAACACGGGCTTCGGGGCAAAGATGTAATAAAACTGTGATTTTTGTTGCTTCATCATGTGTCTGCAAATGAATCTGGCATTTTTTAAGAACAAACTTAGAGTATGCATTGATAAACAGTACAATGAGCACCCGTCATGGTACTGTCACTGCTGGGATTCGTGCTAAGGCCCAGCAGTCTCACTCACCATTGCTTTTGCTCTGACAGTGCAAATATCAACACCATGAGAAAGGCAAACAGCATCTTAGCATTGTCAGGAAAACGATTTTCTTCTTACAAATCACCTAAAATGGTCTCAGGGATCCCTAGAGGTCTGCAAACTACATTTTGAAAATATCTAATATAGTGCTAAAAATGTAGTTTATTTCTAATGTTTCACCATTACAAATGATGCATCAAATGAGCTGCTTTATGCACTGGCCTTTGTCTAATTTTAAGATTATTTTTTTCAAAATAAATTTCCAAAAGTATGACCATTGGATAAATAGGTATAATATTTTAATGTAATTTTTAGGAGACATTAATTTAAACAAAGGCCATTTGAATCATTGACTTTTATTCTTTAAATTTACCAGACCAGTATCAATCAATGTATTCATCTTAATCCTTTTGAAGTGACAGAAACCAACTCAAACTAGCTTATGCCCAAAAGAATAATTTATTGACTCTTGTAAATGATATATCTATGATTTTAGAAAATAATTTAATCAAATAATTTTGTCTGTAACAGTTTCTTTTCTTCTAAATACCTATTATACAGTATAAAACTTGTCATCTCTTTTGTAAGTACTCGCAAACAAAAGAAGGAAAATATTACTCTATGTGGTATTTTATTGTAGTTGTCTGGAGAGAAATAGCAGTCGTGGGGATTGGGGCTTGCACAATGTATGAGTGGTCAGGAAAGGCTGCCTTGAAAAAGTGAGATTCTAAGCAAAGAGGTGGAGGGGTTCAAGACAGCTCATGGCTATCTGCAGGAGGAACTTCCTAAGAAAAGGGAAAAGATAGAGCCACAGTATCTACAGTATGCCCGGAAAATTCGAGGAATAATAGAGAGGCTGGTGTGGCGGGGCCCCAGTGAACGAGAAAAAACTGAGAGGCCCCGGGTCAAAAGAAGCAAAGCCTTTTCATGAGGGAGTTACTAGATCAGGACTTGGGTTTTTAGGACATGGGGTTTTCTGAGATGGGGGCTTCAGTAGGTGACTTTAAATAGAAAAGTCACATGGCCAGACTGAGGTTTTAAAAGGTTTTAGCCAGGCATGGTGGGACAAGCCTGTGGTTCAGCTGCTCCAGAGGCTGAGACAGGAGAATACTTTGGGTCCAGTAGTTTGAGATTGTGGTGCACTATATTTCCACCTGTGAATAGCCACTGCAGTCCAGCCTGGGCAACATAATGAGACACCATCTCTAAAAAAGAATAGTAAGGATGCATCTGATTCCTGTGCTAAGAATGGTCTATGTGGGGAAAGGGGGCAAGTAGAATGACCTGATGGGAAGTGAATCCAGGTGAGAGATGATGGCAGCTTGGACCAGGGGGAGAGCAGAGGAGTTGGTGGGTAGAAAACAGATTCTAGATCTATTTTGAAGGTCTATTCAATTGGTCTACCTAGTGGTTGGATACAAGTGTGAGAAAAATAAAGACATCAAGGACCAGGTCAGGCTTCTGGCCTGAATAGCAGGAAGAATGGCATTGCTTTCTCCTGAGTCAGCAGAAGAGGCAGTGGAGAGGTCTGAGGAAGGCAATTAAGAGTGTAGTTATCGATGTGTTGAGGTTGAAATACACACTAAACAAATAAGTGGATGATCTCGGGAGGACATTAGATATGAGAGAGTAGAGTTCAGGAATCTGGGCTGCAGATCTGGTGACATCAGTGAATAGATGATGCTCTAGACCACGGCCTGCGTGGGACCCTCAGGGGACTCTGTGTGCCACACTGCAGATTTTAACTTCGTGTGGACGGGGTTCTCCAGCCCTCAGTCAGGCTCACATTAGAACCTTTCACCAAATATCTGAAGATAAAGTCTGACAAAAATTCAAACAAGTACTGTGTGAAATGTAAGTTTTTCCCCTTTTTAGATTTCCCAGATTGGCACAGATCCATGTGCTGACTATGACTCTATTGGTTGCAAGGTGTAAGAACCCAAATTACCCCTGCTTAAACAGCCAAGCGCAGAGGCGCACAACTGTAATCCCAGTTTTCGGGAGGCCTAGGTGTGATGTGGTACACAACTGTAGTTCCAGCTACTCCAGAGACTGAGACAAGAGGATGGCTTGAGGCCAGGAGTATGAGGCTGCGGTGAACTACTTCCAATACACAGCAGTAATTATACACCATTCACAGTCTTAGCCTTTACTCAGATCTTAGAAGGTCTTAAACTAATTGACTTCTGAACATTTAAATTTACATTTTAAAATGTTTTAATCTCAACACTTTGGTAAACTGAGGTAGGAGGATCACTTGAGGCCAGGAGTTTGAGATCAACCTGGCCAACATGGCAAAACCCAGTCTCTACTAAAAATACAAAAATTAGCCAAGCATGGTGGCGCACATATGTAATCCTAGCTACTTGATTGGCTGTGGAGGGAGGATGGCTTAAACCCAGGAGGCAGAGGTTGCAGTGACCAATATAGCATCACTGCACTCTAGCCTGGGTGACAGGGCAAGACTCTGTCTC